CCATAGGACTGCCGAGTTTCAGTGTGCAAAAAATATTCCTGACTGAAATGTGTTGATCGATACTGTCAGGACAACAAGGTGGGATTAAATTAAAGTCTCATAGCGAGGCTGCTGGGGAATGCAGCTCAACTAGAAAGAGGGTGAAAAAGGTTTTGCAATTAGAGTTGTGACTGATGAGTCAGGTCATCTGTTGATTATGCAAAAGTACAAGCATTTTAAATCCAATGTCTCTCATCATCTCACTGATATGCATGCATTTCTTTGAGTGTTTCTCTGTGCTTTATGTGAGAATGTAGATAATTATGTACCACTATGCTGTACCTGTATATGCATTTGTTCTACCTGCAGTATTTCCAGTCTGTAAGTAAAGAGCTGAAATCCTGCTGATGACTGTTCTCTCATAGGAGCCCTTATGTTTATAACAAACTAATTCCAGTACCCCTAAAGCAGCCTGAGTAAACACTGATAGTTTTTCCCTCCCTCCCTCGTTAGATCTGTCAGGACCGATACAGATTACAGGAGCAAAGGCAGTTACTGAGGGAAAGGTGATGTCGGTATCTTGTACTTCTCTCCTTACAACTGCAGGTTAAGTACAAATATGTGCTGCTCTGGTGAAAGATATCATTTCATTGGATTAGATTGTGCCAAAGACCTGCAAACTTAAAATCCTGACCAAATTAATAAATGTGACAACAACTTTTTGTTTTTCCATTCCCTCCCTTGTGTTTGGAGAAAGTTTTGCTTCTGGAGCCACCACATCTACAATCAGCGAAATTCTTTGGTATGTAAAACAAAAACAAAACATTTCCTGCAGTTGAAAAAGGGTTAACTGAGAGGGGGAACTCAATCTGTGTGTGGGGGTTGTACTAGAGACTAAAGACCAGCCTTTGAACAGCTGAGTTCTGTTTCCATCTGTGCAAAGACAAAGAAACAGCTTTCTTTTAGGGTAAGCCAACATATACTTACTTTTTCATACAGATCTCGGAGTCTCTGCAATGGTGGGGGAAAAGTTGAGGCAAAGTAGTAATGCAAAAGCTGCTAAAGCTGATAGAGCATCTACAACCTTTGTTTAGTATTTTATTCTGCTAATGACATAATAAAGGAATTGATACTAGGGTACTTTTCCCTCAATGTATTAATTGATTATTAATAATATTAAAAGATCGAGGATTAAATTGTGTCTGGGGCAAAAGAGCAGGGGGTATATGTCTGTATGTCTGTGTGCCAGTGTCTAACGAACGTGCTTGTTTCACTTTGATTCACAGAGGAAAAATGCGTCTGTGCAGCTACTTTGGCGTCTGCCTGTTTATCCTCTACTGCATCCCAGTTTCTGCAGGTAAACAAGAGTCATAAATGGTTGAAAGATCTAAAGATACCTAAACAATATCCAACAAGTACGTATATTTAAAGGTAAAATATGTTGTTTGATCAGGGACAAAGCAGATTGTGAGTATTTAATTTACCGTTTCCACAAGAGCGAGTTGACGTACCACCAGTGGTATGTGTTTGAGAGGTGGTGCACATAATTGTTTCAATATGCTACACCAAAGTTTTGTATGTGTAATATAAAAAAGCACATGTACTGAAAAAGGTTCCGTTACTGTAACCTATGTACCAAACTGCACTCTGTGTTCCTTCTCAGCTCCAATTGAAGCCCCTGTAATCATTGATGGCAAAGCTCTCTCTGCCACAGAAGCCATGGTGTGGTGGCGTCCTCTCTCACAGAGCAACGTAGAGGGGTACAAGGTGAGTACCGTAACCGTTTTGGCAGGTGACGGTGACAGTGGCGATTTCAAAAGATTGCACTCTGAAACCAGGTTTCAAAAGTTTGCATTGTATGCAAAAACAACATTTGCTTCCTGTTGTCATATTGACAAAAGGTCAAACCACAACACAAGTTTACTGTTTCATGCAAAAAAAAAACTTTAATTGAAAAGGCCTTAAATTATATTTAGAACACATGACTGGAAAAATCTCAATAAAGTCACTTAAATGTCTAAATATTCATCTTTAAAATCGTATTCTTTCAAAGCAAACAGACATGGTGTTTTATATATCACTAATGGTATAGCTAATGTAGAAACACAATGAGGAAATTCACACATACCTATGAATTAGTTTTGTGTCTCAATCTTGATTCTACTGATTTACATTGCTGTTTCACACCATTCTCCTCTTTCCTTTTGCAATAAATAAGTTCTACAGTGCTACAAAACAAGGCTTGTACATCAAGTTCATTTTGGATCCTGTGTCCCAGGTGATGTACAGGAGGGATAATGACCGGGATGGGTTGTTCCAGGTGATAGAGGTAGGTGGTATGCAGAACCAAACCAGGCTGGACGGTCTGAAGGCCGACTCCCGCTACTTCATTGAGGTTCAGGGCTTCAGCTCTGCAGGATATGGGCCGCCCAGCGAGCGCCTCCAGATCCACACCAAGAAAGCCCGTAGGTTGTGCTTGAGAGCAATTTAGTATGAACCAGCATGTCATTTTAATATATTTGTTATTCATTATTGTTTTTTATATCTTTTACCAGCTCCAAGCCAACCCCCCGTAATAACTCATCATGAATTAAAAGGTAAATCAGTATACATTGCCTGGGAAATTGTGGAACCACTGGCTGACGAGGCAGAGATAAATGGTTTCAAAGTGAGTACAGCTCTACATTGACTTTTATACAGATTGAAATCTCTAAGCCTTACATTTCTCATACCTTATCCGTATATGTAGGCGTTGTACAGGCAGCAGGGCCATTCCTCAGGCACTCTGTACACAACCAGTAAACGGTACATAGAACTTCCCCTGATAGGAAATGGGAGCTACGTGGTGGAGATCTCGGCACACACAGACGAGGGAGACGGGCCTAAAGCACAAATCCAATCCACAGGTAACAGACACATTCGAGCATTTACTTTTCCCCTTCATTCACAGTCCTTGTTCTTGCCATATCAATAAAGCCATGGATTTAAATGGATTTTTAAACTAGTTTCTCTTAATGTGTACTATTCTGAGAAAACATACTTAAATCTTATTTATACTTTTGGTGGAAAGTGCTGAAAATATATTAATTGCACAGTACAGACAGTGACCGACACAGAAGCCTGAGAAAAACATCTCTCTGAATAGAGTGAGCATGCTCTATTCAAATGTTGAAGTAACTTGAGGATATGCTGAATACGTCTTCCAGGAAAATGACTTATTTCGCAAGAAGCTGCAAAACATGTGTTTCCTCTTAACATGTGATTACACTAACATGAGGACATGAGAGAGACAAAGATAGTAATAGCTGACACAGTTAATAAGTAATAAATATAATACTTAATGCAAGTAGGTTTGGATGATTATAATGGAGCCTTCCAGCTGTACAAGCTATTTAAAGCCACAACATACATTGAATGCCTTCATCGCCAACAACAAGAAAGAATGCAGGC